TAGAGAATCCATAAATTTCTTCAACATAACGTTGGAGAACTCATCAACTCTTTGGTGAATCACTAATAATAATAAAAAGATCACAAGCAAGACAACTAGACAAGTAAAATGCATAATACCAAGGGGATGGCTTAAAACAAATAAAATTGACAATAGCTGAGAAGGCTCATATTATACATAGACTAACAAAATTTTCCTTAATTGAATATTGGATTTTAAACCTCTCACATTGATTAACAAGTGGCAAGTGGTTTGTTCCAGCTTAAGTAAAGTCTCAAGTTCGAAACTTTGTGTACGCAGCAGCCTTCGTTGGGAGACCCGCCCACCATTCTGGTGCGCCACAGCTGGTCGAGTCCGGAGTAGTCGAGGCGAAGCCCCGAATACCGGGCGGGAAACCAAAAAAAAAACAAATGGCAAAAAATAATAATGATAATAATAATAATTAATACTCACTTTGATGAATCCCTATGGACTCATAGCAATCCCAAACGCAGAGCACGCTACAAAGAAGATGATGCATCCGTTTGTTGCTGAAAGCGTGGAGAAGCTATGGGATACATGGAATATCAGAGGACTGATTATTCTAAGCCTCTTGGTTCAGTCCTTTCTAATTCTTTGTGCACCGTTAAGGAGACAAAGAAGGAATACATGGCTCGGGATTTCGATTTGGTTGGCATACTTGCTTGCAGACTGGGTTGCTACATTTACTATTGGACTCATGTTGTCCGCCGAAGTAAGTGACATCCTAGCCTTTTGGGCACCCTTTCTTTTGTTGCATCTTGGTGGCCCGGACACCATTACGTCCTTCTCTCTAGAGGATAATGAGTTTTGGATCAGACACTTGCTTGGGCTTATGTTACAAGTTGGTTCAACTGTCTACCTTGTCCTTCAATCACTCCCAGATAACAAGCTTTGGCTCCCAACTCTCCTAGTGTTAATTGCAGGAATAATCAAATATGCAGAACGGAACCGTGCTTTTTATCTTGCAAGCTTTGACCATTTCAAAGTTAAGCAAAACAACCCCCAAGAACGGTTTGAACCGGATGTGGGTGCCATGGGCATTGTCAAGAATCTACTTGTAGGGCCCCTCTACCTCCAATAAGACGCAATATCAACAGAGATGTATTTCTGAAGAAAGAACCCAAAGAAGTCCTTCTGACATTAGAGGTTGAGCTAAGCCTCTTGTATGAAGCCCTTCACACCAAATTGCCTGTGGTTTGTTGTAAGATTGGATGCGTTTTCCGGATCATTAGTTTGAGTTGCATTTTTGGAGCCTTGCTGTCTTTCGGATTAATTACCAAGCACTACCAGTTGGGAAAGTTTGAAATCTGGCTAACCTATGGTTTGTTGATTGGGGCCATAATATTGGATTTCATATCCATCGGATTTCTTTTTTTTTCCGATTTCAATCTAGTTTTTAGAAAGATTCCGCAATGCAAAATTGTGGCCCGGATTAACAACAGGCGTAGATGGTCCAAAAAAATCCCCCAGTTCAATTTAAAACACATTCTGTTTATTTTTGTAACACTCCACATTGGTTGGACAAATTGGCTAATTTTGTTCCCATAGAGATAGTTTTGGACACCATTATATCAATCAGATGCTTTTCGTTACGAGATTTCAAAGAAGACAAAGTGTGGCTCTTCATTCTTGAAGAAGTGAAAAAAAAGGCTGAATCCGCAAAGACGGTAGAACAGGGCATCCAAATTTCTTCAAAAAGAGGTGATGGAATTCTTGACAGCAGGAGAGAATATAGGGATCTCATCTGGAGCGTCAGGAATTTAGATTACATGGAAAGCCTTCTAACCTGGCACATAGCCACTGAAGTATGCTTCCAATTCAAAGAATGCGCTGACGACCGACCTATGTCATCTGAGAATATGGATTGCAGAGAGATATCCAAGTTGATTTCGGATTATATGTTTTGCGTTCTAATGGGGCCCGCTATAACAACCAACGTGCCTAATTTTATTCAACAGGAAGAGTTAGTTGAGAAAGCATTTGATGATCTAGATTCTTTCTCCATGGACTTTCTTCCATTTTTGAATGGAAACAGAATCACCGGGCAATCTTTTCAAAAGAGCGAGAGCCTGGTTGGTTGAAGCCTCCTGTCAGTGGAGAAAAGGTATCTGCTTTTGTTTTTGCACGGATCCTTGCCTTCCAGCTGAAGCAATTGAGGTTTCCTTGGAAGATAATGAGCCAAGTTTGGGTGGAAATAATGTGCTATGCTGCTATTAATTGCAGGCCAAATGTGCATGCACAGCAACCCCGTAGAGGTGGACAACTCCTCACTTTTGTTTGGTTGTTGATGAATTATTTGGGTCTCGGAAGTCAGTTTGAAACTGAGCCTGATGATATTGGAGATTGGAATGAGTCAACTATTCCGAGTGATATTGGACATGGGCATGAGCCAACTAATCCGAATGAACTTTTACTTCTGCTGCTGTATCAGCGTCGGTCCGTGGAAGACCCTAAATTTTAATATGAGAGAGACCAGATTCCAAATTAGTAGACACTCAGAAGTATGTAGCTTTTAATTTGGCATTTCATTGTGTCATATATCATTATTCAATTGTTTTATGCATTGGAGCTTTGCTTTTATGCATGGTTCAAGTTCAAAAGAATTGGATACGGATTTCTCTTTCTTTTAGAAGGTTCATTCTAGGCAGAAGTGAATAACAGAATCAAACACCTTGCAGCTCTTACATCAGGAGTTCGCACACTCCTCTAAGTTCTGTCTTCCTGTTTATCTGTATTCTGTTGTCCCCTCTCAATTCTCACATAAGCCTTAATTAGGGTCAAAATTATATGTCAAAATTAAACTTGGGAAATAGAGAATGGTCAGCAGGACTCCCTATTCCAGTACAGTACAATTCAAAAACTTGGGAAGTGCAGATCACGTGATAACTAAAAATATTAATCCTCTTGATGATTTTCTTGTGGATTTCGACCCCAAGTCAATATTACAAGCTGAAGTTTACTTGTTGGGAATTATCTGGAGTTCACTACTCGGTCCTTTTCTAGTTGCAATTCAAGTTTGTAAGAGCATCGTAAACTTTATAAGCAAAAATGACGATTGCATGGCGAATGATGCACTCCGAAGGATGGAGATTGAGCTAAGCCTCTTGTATGAGGCTCTCCACACCAAGTTGCCTGTGATTGTCACCAAGACTGGGTACATATGTCGCATGTTGAACTTGAGTTGCATATTGGGAGCCTTGTTGTCATTCTCATTAATTAAGAAGCACCACGAGTTGGAGGAGTTTGACACCTGCCTAAGCTATGGGTTGCTGATCGGGGCCCTGACGTTGGATTTCATATCTATAATATTACTTGTTTTCTCCGACTCGTTTGTTGTTGCTCACTTCCATATTATGGAATCCAAGCCCATATTCATCAACAGATTCATCACCAGATTCATCAACAGGCGCAGATGGTCTGAAAGTGTTTCGCAATTGAACTTCATTACCTATTATGTCAAGGATCGAAGAAGGACCATCCAAATTGGTTGAAAAAATTGGCAACTTATGTTAATTTGGCGAGGAGTTTGTTAGAAGCAATAAAAAGAAATCAATGTCTTTCCTTTCAAAATTTTAGAGAAGGCCTACTCTGTAGCTTCATTTTTGGGGAAGTGAAAGGCATGAAATTTCAAAATACTGCACCAGAAATCAAGGTTGCTTGGTTTCAAAGAAGCAAACAAATTCTTCAAAACAGTTTAACTTATAAGCATCTCAGACATAACGTTGGGGAGCAAGAGGAGGCTAATTACACACAATTCCTTTTAACATGTCATATAGCCACCGAGTTATGCCTCCGAGGGGAAGATGACCAAAGGTCTTCATCTAGGAGTAATGATGGTCAAAGAGCAATATGCAAGCTACTTTCAGATTATATGTTTTACCTTCTGATGATGGAACCTCCTATGATGACTACTGTGGTGAAAATTTGGAAAAAGATGTTTAACGACACAAATGCGGACGCCGAATTTTATGTGGGCTGGAGTTTTTTCTCAAATGAAAAGGATGCCAGCAGAGAAATCCTTTCAATTTTGTTTGATGTTACTAAGAGAGAGGACAGAAGCGGATCTGTTTTATTTGCAGCAAGAGAGCTTGCCAGCCATATCAAGCAGTCCGACAGTACTTATTGTTAAGGATACTCATCAATGACTGAATCAATCACATGATTTGGGCATTGCTGCAGATATGTAATCAATTATCTGATATGATTATTGTTGCAGTCTTGCAGATATGGATTCAGTGTACCATAAATGGCAATCTGTTTGTTTTTCCTTTTGTATATGTCTTGGACAATACTCTCCCGCATGAAGCCTTTGTTTATATATTCATTCAACTGTGAATAAAATAGTTGAACCATTCTACATAGCCTCTTAACTCTCCTATTAGTGGCATTAGAGCCACCAGACCTCAGATGAGATTTATCAATTCGCCATGGCTGACAACATTCCAGCAAAGACACCCACACCAACATCCACAAAAACTCAGTCAACCAATTCCTCCTCTACAACCCATACTGTTGTTGTTGCCACGTCTGGTGAACCATCTCCTACCAAACACATCATTGTTGCTTTTAATCCAGCACAGTTCCCACTCAAACTAACACCCAATAATTAATTATCTTACTTGCAAAGAACAAATTACCTCTTTGTTGACAAACTACAGGCTGCTTGACTTTCTTAAAGGCACTAAACCTTGTCTTGCAGTTCCAGCAACTGCAGAAGAGATACCTGACTCTCCTTTCAACGTTTGGGTAAGACAAGATCAAGCCCTTCGCCATGCCTTACTCACTGTCATGTCAGACTCAATTGCCCCATGTATTGCCATAGTTAGAACATCAAATCAAGCATGGATCACATTGGAGAAGTTATATGCAAATAGATCTACAACTCGATTTGTAGTTTGGAGAGATCGTCCTCATAACCTCAACTCTGAGGGAAAAATAATAACTGAATACTTGGATCATGTATAGAAGATTGTCAGTGAGCTTGAAAACATGCTCCGGTCAGTGGCAGATGAGGAACTTTCTGTTCACGGTTTAGGACTAGAATTTCGAGAATTTTGCGCCTCTATTCTTGCTCGCGAGACGCCACTGCCATTTGAGGATTTTCAAGATCGACTCTTGGCTCATGAAGAAGCCTTGCACTGTGAAGAAAGACGGCTTGACAAGGCGCCAGTCATAGCACACCATGCTGTTGTGCAGAACAAAAACTCTAAGGGACTCAACTCCTATTCTCCCTTTGGTTCAAATAATCAACCAAATTATTCCGTCACTAACAAGCCCACTTATACAGGTTCTAATCAGCAACAACAGCCTACTAATGCATGGAACAAATCTAATCAAAGTTACAATTCCAGCCCAAAAATCCATGTAATGGAAGAAAAAATGGAAATTGGAGGTCTAATGGGAACAAGAACTCCACTGCATGCCAACTTTGTCATCAATCAGGTCACTTTGCCGATAGTTGCCCTTACTATCGAGTTGAAGCACAAGCACCTATGGCCCATTTTGCAACTTCAGCAGGCAAAGCTTCTCGTAATGGTTGGTTGATTGATTCTGAGGCTAATAATCACATAACAAATGACTTGGCAAATCTAGCATTGCATTCTGAATATGACGGACTTGAAGAACTTCAGATTGGTGATAATTCAAGCTTGGAGATTACACACATAGGTAATACAACCATACCCAACTCTGCTCTTCCTTTAAATAATGTTCTTTGTGTGCCGCAAGCCTCACAAAACCTTATTTTTGTCTCTCAACTACATAAGAACATTAATACCTTTGTGGAATTCCATCTTGACTTTTTCCAGGTGAAGGATCATCACACGGGGGCAATTCTACTTCAAGGGCCAAACAAACATGGGGTCTACGAAACTCCCGATAAGGGAGATTCTAAGGGGAACAAGTCTCAAATTCAAATTGGCACACATGACTTGGGCATCCTTCTTCCAAAATTTTATAATTGATTCTTCATACTTTTCAATTACCTATTTTGAATAAAAACATCTCCTTTTCTTGTGAGTCATGTTTATGCTCCAAAAGTCACAAACAACTTTTTAGTAATTCTACCATTCAAAGTTTTGCTCCGCTTGATGTGATTTTTTCAAATGTTTGGGGTCAAGCCCCAATGTCTTCAATTGATGGCTATAATTATTTCTTACTCTTTACAGATCATTTCACACATTATACTTGGATCTATCCATTAAAAAGAAAGTATGATGTATCCATTATATTCCCTAAATTTAAAACTATTGGCAAAAAGCAATTTGGCCATAGCATTAAGTCCTTTTACTCTGATGGCGGACGTGAATATGTTAGTCTTCGAAACTATTTTTCTGACCAAGGCATCTCTTATTTTACAACTCCTCCTTATACACCTGAAATGAATGGCATCAGTGAGCGACAAAATCGACATATTGTTGAAACTGCATTTAGACCTTTTCATACTGCCTCTTTGCCAACCCATTTTTGGTCTTACGCAGTTACAACTGCTATGTATCTAATTAATCAACTACCATCCTTTGCAATTTCCTTTAAATCTCCTTTTGAAAAATTGTTTCATGTTAAACCAAATTATCTTAAGCTAAGTGTTTGGGTGTGCTTGTTATCCATAACTCCGTCTTTACAATAATCACAAACTTCAAGCATGATCTCATCATTGCTTATTTTTGGGATACTCTACTGAAAATCTTGGCTATAAATGTTTGGTTAAATCCCCAATTTAGTCCTGAACTATTGTACAGACTCTTGATTTGGTCCTTGAACTATTGTATGGACTCCCGATTTGGTCCCCACTATTTACCAATTTGCCCCAAGATAGTCCTTTTGTACAAAAAAAACTGATGTTTCTTATTATTAACGTGACATGTGATTGTTAAATTATTGTTTTTCACCGTTAACTAACAGATATGTCAACTATTTTTTGTACAGAATGACTAACTTGGGGCAAATTGGTAAATAGTAGTTACCAAATTGAGGGTCTGTATAATAGTTCAAGGACCAAATCAAGGGTTTTTTTAGTTCAAGGACCAAATCGTGGATCCGTACAATAGTTCAAGGACCAAATTGGGGGTTTAACCTAAATGTTTTGATTTTGAATCAAGAAAAATCTTTTACTCTCGTCATATGGTGTTTGATGAAAATTTCTTCCCTTTTAAAACAAATTCTAAGTCCACCATCTCTCTGTCAAAGCCCAATCAATTCCCAATTAAGTTTGAGATTCGTCCTTCATCACAACCTGATTCACAACCTACGAAGTAGCAATTGTCATCGACGACGTTCTCCTCACTTGTTCTCATCTCCAATCCATCCTCATCGCCATCTCAGCTCGTTCCCTCTACCTCAACCCATTCTCTATAGCCCAATCCCCTACCTTCTAATCCAACCAGCCCTGTTCCTTTAGCCCGGCCCACTTATCTAGGTCCACCTTGGATCAGCCCACTTCTACCCCTACATCTCCATCACATGTTGTTTCCCTTGTATCTTTTTCCTCACCATAGCAACATCCCAACTCAACCTCATGCCCCTTTGCCAAACCTCCACTTGTGACTAATTCCGATCCTTCTCCTACCAAACCTCCTTCTTTTCCTATCTCGCCTCACCAAACCCACCCCATGGTGACCCATTCCCAGAACCAAATTTTCAAACCTAAACAATTATTTCTTACCACCAAATCTCCAAATGACACTCCAATTGAACCTACGTGTGTATCTCAAGCTATGAAGTATCCAAACTGGGGATTTGCGATGTCCGATGAATTCACTACTCTAGTTCGCCAAGGCACTTAGGAACCAATACCACCATCTCCACATTAAAACATTATCGATTATAAGTGGGTTTTTGGGCTAAAGCAACGTGTTGATGGGAGCCATGAATGCTACAAAGCACGTCTAATAGCCAAAGGGTATCATCAACAACCTAGTTGTGATTACTTTGAGACATTCAGTCTAGTCATCAAACCTACCTCAATTCGAACCGTCCTTTCTATCACTGTATGTAATAACTGGCCATTTGATAGTTGGATGTCAATAATGCTTTCCTTAATGGTAGTCTTGATAAAGAATTGTTTATGCAACAACCATTTGGATTTGTTGATGAGAATTTTCCCCATTATGTTTGTCGCTTGAGGAAATCTTTGTAGGGCTTGAAACAAGCTTCTTGAGCATGGTTCTATGAGTTGAAATCCTAATTGGTATCTCAGGGGCTTCAATGTTCTTGATCTAATACTTCTTTATTCATTCTTTGCCAGTCTAGAGCTGTAGTTTATTTTCTGGTTTATGTTGATGATATTCTATTCACTGGAAATTCCTTATCATTTATTGATAACTTGATCCTATCTCTTGGTGATTGGTTTTCCTTGAAGGATCTTGGCAATTTGAGTTTGTTTCTGGGTGTCGAAGCTATTCCCACTACTGCAGGTCTATTCTCACTTAGCATTGCTATATTCGTGACATTTTACAAAGAGCTCAAATGCTTGTTGCCAAAGCTGTTGCTACTCCTATGGCTTCTTTGTGTTCTTTACAATAGTGCCCTAGCAATAGGGACGGAGCCAGAAATTTGATTTATGGGGGGGGCAAAATTCTAAAAATTTTTTGTGAGTCATTTAGGTTTCATTTAACCATATTTTATGTATTTTTAGGATATTAAAAAACAAAAAAATTTATACATACAGCACAACATCGGTAAACGAAACCTTAATAATTTATATTGATTTTAAATCAAAAACTATTTTTATGCATATACCACTTATATTAACTATAACAAATTTTATATTAATTAGATATATTTAACTTTTTTTTAATAACATGGAATTTAAGACTGTGAAATAAATAGTGTAAAAATATAATTTTTTTTGGTCAAGCTATATATATCAAATGAACTTTAGTTTAATACAATATAAATCATACTAAAAAAATATAGATAACTAATGTAAAAACTTATATAAGGTTATCTCAAAATAATTAGATCTTAACTATTTTCTATATTTATTCTTAACTAGATAAAATTATCATGTCTCCATAAAAATTAGTCACAAAAAGAAAAATAATTTCTTTACTTAGGTCCTAAATATTTTTTTTTATATTTGAATGGCCCTTATAATTTAAATTAACTACAAATATAAAATTTTGTAGAGAATAAAAATTGACATACCATGTTTAACATTTTTCAAAA